CCGCAATTTATACCTATATAGCCCATATATGGGAGTACCGCACTCCCCCCCCCCCCCCCCCCCCCCCGCCCCGCTGCTGCTGTGCAACCTCACACAACCAGACCTATTTGTTCAGTGATCTGTCAAAATCACTCATCAAACATATGTACAAGTAGTATTTGCGTTGGAGATCAGCGCCACACAACGTTCATTTCGTAGTCCCATGTGTTTAGCTTTGGACCAGGAACAAGAAGTGCTACTAACAAAATGTCTTCAGGAAAGTTTTCCCAAGTGGTAGACTTAGCGTGCCTTCTTATTGTTGGTCTCGTCAGCGCGCTTTTGGGACTCGTCATTCCTGCGTTCAGACGCGGCTTTTTCTGCGACGATGAGAGCATTAAATACCCGTACTTATCTAAAGAAACTTTCCCTACATGGGCGTTACTTCTTGTGTCAGTGGTTGTGCCAGTTGTTACGGTAAGTAGCTGTATTCAATGCATTATAATAGGGTTTGAATATAGTCTTAATTGATGTCTTCATGATTCAATCACGGCAAGGACAACAATAAACAACGGTGTTGAATCCATCTGTTGAATCTCGCTGTAGGAGGGCTAAGGTATAGCGATTCCTCTAGAAAGGAATTAAAGTGTATCTGACTGATTAAAATAAACAGAATAGTAAGGTTTTTTTACGAAACTAGTTACACTTTCGAGAATATCTGACAAAAAAACAACAATTAGATATTAGACACGATTTCGTATGATTCTCTCAGTTTGACATTTCCTGTATATCACGGTTTCCGGTTTCTCGCATACTTCAGGTTTAAAATAATGACTTTGTTTGAAGCTTAAAAAAAGTGTGCCCAAGTTCTGCAAATATATAGATATAAAATGTACTGAATTTAAAATATTTACAATGGTTTTGATGATTCAAGAACGCGACAGCGCCCGTCCGCTAGAATTCTTAAAATACTTTAGTTAGCTAATTTCAGTGACGATTATAATGGCCCATTTTATGCCCGGGATTTTATGCTAGACACCGCTAAAGACACGTGAACTGTCTGGATAAACTTGGTCAAGATTTTTTTAATCGGGTTCGAGACAGATTTTATGCACCGTCATGAAGACCACGTACGCCTTTGCGTGCCGTGAAATTTACTATAAAGGGATTAGTCCATTTAAAGTCGTTACACAAGCACACGACATTTTACAATTCATAATTCTTCTGCACGGATTATGTTTCTCAAGCTTAAAATTCTAAAATCCGCCATTATTTCAGTGAAAAGATGTTTCAAAAACGTAGCAATTGTGTTGCTATTTCTGGCCTGTGTTTCTGTGTGGGTGGGTGAGGTCAGACAAGGGCAAAGCATAATCATGACATAAAACACCCAATGTATAATTGACGTAGTAAACACTTGAGTTCTACTTCAACACTGACATAATAATATTCACACGCAAAATGAGACTATCAGCAGGAACCAGTGATACCTCATAATCTACAGCTAAAATTTGTTAGCTGGAGAGAACACTAATGAAAACATATGAAATCAGCATATATTTGAGTTTTAAGGCAAAATGAGGGAAAAATTGAGTTTTAGATTTGACATCAGCACATGATAAGATGCGTGACTTCTTTAAAAGTACTGTAAAAGGTAGTTTCCCTCTTAAGCCCCCTTCTAGAATTACAGTATTAAAAAAACTAACAAGCACCCTTCCATTAAAGTACTAATTTACTGAATTAAGTATAGGGTGACACTTATTTTTACAATTTCATTTTGCCACGACTATATCGTTTTTGGAGTTTTCTGACCACCACATTTGCTTTTCATACAGATTATCATCTGTGAAGTAGGAAGATATTACCAAAGTGATAAAAATATCAGAGGAGAAAATTACGAAGATGCTGATGAAAGTGGAATGTGTGGACCCTACACCAAAAAGCCATTGTTCCAGAGGTAGTACAAAAAGTAAAAATTAAAAGAAAAATGGATCTAGGATAGAAGCAGCTAACCCGTTTTGCAAACACATAATTTCTCTGTTTCTGTGATTCCGACAGTTTCATTTTTAATGACATGTATATTAGACAACCTTTTTTTACCGGGCTTTTCCCTTGGTGGCACTACCCAATCTCCAAAGGAAAAAGCTGTGGAATTGAGGTTGCATATAAGAGAATGCATTTGTAACACTTACGACTCAAAACAGCAGATAGAGTGAATTATAAGAAAACTGTGAGTTGTTTGAAAACTGAAGGGTGTAAAGAGAGAGAGTGTTTCTCATATATAGGCTTAACAGATGTGCTGTTCTGGATATGAGTTAATTTTCCCTCCAAGTTGATATTGGTCTAATGGTTAGCAAACTAGAATCTCTTTAAGAGGTTCAGGTTCAAGCTCTAACCAGGGTCATTGCATTGTGTTCTTGGCCATGACATGCTGTGAGGTAACCCTGCAGTGGACTCCCATCCCATCAAAGCCACTTCATGCTATTCAAACTGGGATAAGGTCCAGTAAGATGGGACACTACGGCTTCACCTTTCCAACTTGTGAGTGGGGCACAAAAATGTAATTTTTGGTCTGTGAAGTGGGGAGGAGGGGACTGGGTTCTCCAGGTCCTGATGGTATACCTGATGTATTAAATACCATGTAATATCCACCCATAAGGAAGTCATTTGATAGAGAAAGAATACTTGTTAATCTCTTACCCAGTGTACAGAAATCACAGTTCAAAAATACCTTAAGTTATCAGGTTTAAGGCACCCATGTACAACACTGTATGACCTATTTTCCCTTCTTTTCAGGTTGTACAAAATAACCTCCGTGTTCATGTTTGGAGCACTGGTCAATCTCTTATTTACTCTGGCCAGTAAAACATACCTTGGAGAATTGAGGCCCCATTTTCTAGCAGTGTGCAAACCCAACATGAGTTTAGTTGACTGTAGCCAGGGATATGTTACAAACTATGAATGTACTGGGAAAGATTTTGCTGCGATTGAAAAAGCAAGGTAGGTAATCTTAATACCTTATGCCATATACTGGTTTTTGTTGTTTTTAGTGTTTATTGTATATGCAGTGAGCAGATTGTGAATGTTATTATTCAGATTTTTTTAATACATTTTTAATCTAACCATTTCTTAGGTTTTAAGTCTGTAAGCACATTGAGCACCATTCAAAATTATGCTCAAAAACAGTATTATTTAATATTATGCCCATAATTTGTTTCAGGGATAGTAATTTGGTGATGGCAATGGAATTCTCTGGGAACATAATATTGTATTAGATTGTACAAGATGATTCATTGTCCCACTTCAAAGAGTTTATGAAGATGGAAAGCCCCATGTTATGTTATGTCATGTCAAGCTTTGTTTGGCTTTCTGTCATATGTCTAGGTTATGAACCAACTAACACCATTTTCCTTTCTCAGGAGTTCATTTCCCTCAGGACATGCATCTTGTTCTATGTATGGCATGCTTTTCTTAGTGGTATGTAGCGTACACTTATTTATTTCACTTTATATTTTAACCAACCAAAAATGGCTTTTTCCAATATATCACACAAAAAATCTCAACTAACTCAACCTAAAGCATTTGATCCCATTAGATCATGGTCTAAGTTAATTGTAATTACTTTGCTATTACAATGGAACTGCCATTACAGGATCATTGAGACAATGACAACTGTCTCCTTAAATAGAGTTGTCCCTTAAATAGAGGAAATTCCATAGATCTATACAAAGTAAGATTCATTTGAGCATGCACTGTGCCCAGGCAAAAGTTTGCATCCCCATAAAGGAGATGCCTCATTAACAGACATGTGACTTGCAAAGTTGAGGTTTTACTCTACACATCAAAATCACAATTACATAAGGCCCCCCACAAGCTATGGAAATTGTCATTTTTCAGGCAAAATGCCCACAAGCTGGGCAACTTTCTCTTTCGTAAAGTTTTAGATTTTACTAGAATGAGACTGTTGATAGAGGACATCAAGTATGCAAGCTATCGACATATCTTTTTTTGGAAATGTAGCAGTTTCATTAGATGTGAGAATTGTACATTGTTTGTTTTTCATGCAATTTGAATGCGTGTGCATCCCAATTTCAACACTCATGCATTTAGGCAAGAGGATCACCAATTCACCCCTCCCCTCCCCCTTTCCCCAAAGTCCAAAAGTGCCTGTACCTATGTGCCTATGCCTGGCACACGTCCGTTTCAATTTGAAACTAAGCTTTGTCTTATGCTTTTTATTTGAAGCTTTTCTTCGAAACCCTCCCAGCCAGAGATAGAGGTTCCTTTCTAAAGCCTTTCATTCAATCTGGATGTATGATATTGTCAATGATCGTTGGGCTGTCCAGAATAACAGATCACATGCATCATTGGTATGATGTTTTGGCAGGATTCATACTTGGGGGATTCATGGCCATCTACGTGGTAAGTCACATCCCCCTAAGGGGGACTCCCAAATAAAAAAGACAGGAGTGCTTGTGGAAACTTTGATAAGAACCCCTAATAGGTACCAAGATCCCTTTCGTGGGTGTGGCTTGAATTTTTTTCACCCCTAAAGGGCACCAATTCTAAAACAACTTAATAACTGACATTGACTCCTTTTGGCTCAATGTGTAGTTCCATAAAATAACCATACCTCCCCCACGGAAGGGATTTTTTCCAAGACCCCTCACCCCTCTGGAAATTCCAATTAAACTTACTACATTTCTTTAAATTTTTTGGTCTTAGAGAACCCCCTCCCAACCCCCCCCCCCAGGAAATTCTAATCCCTTCTGTGGGGGGAGTATAGATATTTTCTGGTACTGCACAATACCATAAAAGGTACTGTGAAAGCTCCCGGCATGGACCTTTCGAGGCTGAACACCCTAGGAGGTACAAACCCCCTCTTTTAACCCCTAAAAGGTATGACAAGCATCCCGTCCTTTTTATTGGGAGTCCCTATGGGTCACAACTAGCTACCAAGCTCACCACAAAGGTGACTTTTGCTGTCTAGAGATTATGCTGGCAGGCCAAAGTTTCCTGACTTTCTAATGTGTTTGTGTTACCATAAAAACTTTAATTTGACCCCTGCCCCATATACTCTTTTATACTCCCAGCAAAAGTGCGTGTGTGGAGTTGGGAAATGTAGACTAGTAAGATTAGTGTTTAATACCTTGGAGAATTGTAAAAAACTGTGAAATATAATAATGATAATGATTTTTTTTTTTTAAAAGTTCTATTATTTTGACTTCATAGACCGATTAAACACACTCAAAATCTTGTTAGAAACAGCAGAAGTTGAATTCTGTGAGATCCCTAGACATAAAACTTAAGAAAAACTTTCGCTAGTCAAAGGAATTTCTCTTTCTCCTGTTCTTTTACCTAGCTAGTAATGGCTCCTGCTTAGCAACTAACACATCAGACAGCAATTTTATAATCCTAATATAATTTTCTGTCTGATTTAATCTTAAGCAGTTGTTTTTGCTATGTTTTCTTCAAATAGGCCGTTAAAGTTCTGAAGCTGTTTCAGGAAAGTCAACAAACATCAACTGGTAACATGCATCGGGAGACATTAAAGAGCTCTTCAGACAACTGTGAACTGTTCTTGCATTCACCAGACCGACTCATACCAGCTACTCCATGCTGACAAAGCTACTACAAGATCCTCTCTTAGCTTACTGTTATTCCTGACATTTCACAAAAACAGTTTCTGACAAAAAAGAAAACAGTTTCTTGCAAAAAGTTGAAATGTTTGACAGAATTTCTGATTATTGCAGGAATTCCTGAGAAAAATTTCCTGAGAAAAATTTCCCGAGATAGCAACTGCCTTCGCAGCTGTGATTAATATTTTTATCAGGCCATTTTCACAATGCTTTTTATCCCAAAGCAGATAATTATCAAACTAATGGTTGCTCGGGAGAATATTGTGCAAAATGTTGGCGATACAGAAGGCTATCATTCTGTGCATCTTTGACCCAATGATCTGGCTTTGTTACTTAAGTGTCATCCATGTCCAAAACTTCTTAAATGCTAATAGCATAAGGTCATTACTAGAGATGCCTTCTTAATAATGATAGTGATAATAACAATTCAGTTATTATTAAATGGTGTGAAATTCCTTCAGTCCAAATGGCATTTCACTGAAATAAAACCCAGACTACAGAAAAAAAGAGTGGCAGCTTTTATAGTACTTGACATAACACTACTTTTTCTCTCATAATCAAATACTATTATATTACAAAGTGGAAATTTACAGTTCTAAAACAAATGATAATTATTTGCATCAAGTCTTAAATCCTTGTTTTACTAGTTATTATATAACTATTCCCAGTTATTATTACTAGGATTTGAGATAACATTGTTGATTATAAGCAAAATATTCTTATAAAAAGTACCACATAATGTTACGAAAAGTGTGTAACCAAAATAGTGTATGCATAAAAAGACCAGGGAAAAGTGTAACCAATACACACCGTAAATTATGGGAGTGTTATTATTTTAATACTTTTTTTACACAAGTTTAGTAAGCTAGAAAACATGCATTTTGTACATTCCACTCTTATTTATAGCACATTAAATCTGTCATGTGACAAGATAAATGTCTTATCAAGTAAAGATGAAACATTTGTTTCAGAATTGAAAGATTTTTTTCCTTGCTTGTTTTGTACATTTTATAGTAAAATCATTACATTGTTATTACTCTGTCTTGTTTTGAGCCCTCTCTTTTCTTCTTTCTTCTAATATTTTTTCCCTGGCTTTAAGTAAACCCTCAACTGACGTTGGTGGTTTCTGTGCAATGAAATAGGAAGCTTGCTGTTATGAAAATAATAGTTGTGAGTTTTTTCCCACTATGGATTGGGATGGAACTAGTGGGTATTTCTAAGTTACCACTAATAATCAATTAGCAACAACTCCCAGTGAGTTTCAAGAACTAATAAGAAGTTATTAATGGTATACAACATTTTTTTTATCATCATCTATTATTATTATTGCAGAAATTAGGCATTGATTGCATATTGATTTCACTATTGGCTTCTCACTGATGGGGATTGACTGAACAAAGGAATAAATCCACGATGAATTGATAATAGTCTTGGGTGGGGGGGGGGGGTACTCCCACATATAAGCTACTTGGGTATGTGCTGCTGTGAAGGGTATGGTTTTTAGGCAGTTTAGTCTGGGATAGGGTATAGAAACCAGACAGTTTTGGTCCATATATAGAGGATAATACATGGTGGCGAGAAGATATGAATTTTATGTTCGAGTGGCAAGAACAATATCTCACGAGTGAGCGAAGCTCACTCGTGAGATATTGTTCTTGCCACGA